GCCAGCTTCTGGATTCTGGACGCTTCAGACGCTCCAAAACCTCGCACTTGCTAGACTGTGGGCTCTGGGCTCTGTGCGAGACTGTGGGCGGAGTTGCGCAGACTGTGGGCTCGGGGCTCTGGCGCGCCAAATCCTTTTTTTCTAGTGGCCCGAAACTGCCCTTCAAACGCCTCAAACCCCTCAAACCCCTCGAACCTTGCCAATGGTTCTGCCATACTGGCCGTTGGAGCAGCCAGCTTCTGGATTCTGGACGCTTCAGACGCTCCAAAACCTCGCACTTGCTAGACTGTGGGCTCTGGGCTCTGTGCTAGACTGTGGGCGGAGTTGCGCAGACTGTGGGCTCGGGGCTCTGGCGCGCCAAATCCTTTTTTTCTACTTGGGATCCTTGTTTTGTTATAACTAGTTAACATAATTATGATCACTTATGTTCATTTAGCAACTAGTTACAACTATGTGTTAACTAAGTATAACTAGGTTTTAACTATGTATAACTAGTGTTAATTTTTAACATATGTTAAGTTAGTTAGTAACTTTCTGATGAAGTTATGTAACTAACTTAATTCATGTTAACTCTGTATAATTTTTTGAGCTTGATCTAGCTCATTTTCATTTACCAGAAAATGATGATTTGTATTCTATTTGCATTAAAAGGATATGTGCGGACCAAAAAAGAAAACAACATAACAAAAAAAATTGTTTTTTGTTGCTGAATTGAGCATATTTATTTCCTAAACTTCTTTTGTTTTTGAGATTTTCAAAAATGACTTTCCTTTTTGGTGGACATGCAAAAGCTTGTCAAAACAGAAATGCCTGTTTTGTGGCACATTCTGCATGACATGTCACAACCTACAAAAGCCATGTTTGGTTTCATTTTTTTCTGTGGGCATGCATTATACCCGCATTTTTAGGAACCAGAGAGTTGCCAACTCCAGTGCCAGCAAATTGCAGCCAGCAATGGTGGACATCTCCTACCGCTGCCAAATCACATACCAAGAGGAGAAGCCAGTGAGCATTGCTGCAGACATGGTTGAGGAGCACCAAGGCCAAAAGTTCCTCAAGAACAGTGCCACCAACTATGCCATTTGCCAGCTGGTTTGTGGTGGCAAGCTGCCCGCAAAGAACCCCAGCTTGGCCAGGAGCAAGGAATTGCAAGCATTGGCCCAAGCCAGGAATGACAAGATCCAAGAATATTTTGCAGCACCAGAAGAGACCCAAGACTTGTTTGATTCAGAGATGCCCAAGAACAAATGCACCAAAAAAAGAAAAGCCCAAGCCATGGAAGAACCAGGTGACAAGTTTGTGGTCACCATCCTATTGGGTTCCACTGAGATTCCATGTTTGGTTGGTGGCCAAAGACCAGCCAAGTGTGATTTGTTTGTGGCCATGGAGCCAGAACCCTTGAGGGAAATCATTTCCCATTTGAGAGCTGGCTGCCAAATTGCCTTTGCCCAACCCAGCAGAAGTTACAAGGCCACCAAGAAAGAATCAAGCCACTGCAGGTGACCATAGCAGTGGTGGCAACAAAAAGAGAAGTTGCAGCCAAGGATTGCAAAAGCCATTGTTTGGCCTAAAAAGCACCAAGAATAAAGTCACAAAAAGCCACTCATGGCCATTGTTAAAATAATCATCAAAACAAGAAGAACCATTATCAATCCACAGTTTCCATTGACAGCACCTATGTAGGCTGATGTTTTTGAATGGTGCTGCTGTTTTCACAAATAAAGGAAATGGCACAGCCAAGAAGAACAGCAATCAACCAAGGTCCACCATCAGTGTAAAAAATCAAGTACCAAGCCTTTTTCTGAACCAGCCATGGTGGAGAAAGTGGCTGCCCAAGTGAAAGCCATGATGGATGGCAGCTTGGCCATCAACCAGAAAGTCAGCCAGGTCATTGACCTGTTGGAAGCCCATGGGTTGGCCCACAGAGTGGTCCTGAAGCCATCACAAGTTCTATGCCACCCTGACAAGAGGGGTGGGACTATGGTGTCCTACCATGATGCTTGGACCAAGGGCAAAGCCATGCTGGGTGTTGGAATCCAGGTCAGCCTTCTGCATGGTTCCATAGCGATAGAGATGTCCAAAGATGAAGCCAAGAGAAAGGTCCAGGTTTCCAAGAATGAGCAGTTGTTTCATGAAGCCAATGGCCACCTTGCACCTCTCAGTGGCCAGGAACGCTCCTTGTCTATATTTCAATGGTTTCTATGAAACCATTGTTTTGAAGCTGCCATAAAGACAGCCACACTGCATATACTGATTTCAAATGTGTTGGCAATACAATAAGTTTTTGTTCATCACATGGCCCATACACTGCCCAGGCTATTTGTCTTTGAGTTCCAGCCACACTGTGACCTTCTTGAGAGCCATGGAACACCATTGTGTTGGACCAGCTGGAAGCCAGCCTGATGTCCCCAAGAATGACCCAGTCTGGAAATGCATTACAGAGGGATGGAGCTGGGTGGTGGTCTCCAATGAAATGGAAGACCACATCCCCACTTTTCCCAGTTGGGTGCAAATGGCTATGAATTCTTCCAACTCAATTGGAAGACCACAGACTGAGCTGGAGTTGGCCACTACAATGGCCACATTCTTCCAGAATGGTATGGACCTCAAGGAAGCCATCACCCAGGCCAAGCAAGGAGACATCAAATGTCAACAGAGCCTCCCAGCTGTTGCCCACTATGTCCAAAGATTTGCTGGAGGCCCCAACTTTCCATTGATCCATTTCTTGGGCAAATTTGGCAAGCTGTTTGGTGGCACCTTGCTATTGGGAGGTGATTTCTTCCATGCTTTGGCCCACACTGATTTCAAGGTCAGTGGCCAAGTCTTTCCCATGGTGAGAATGGGTCTGTGGGCCACCATGCTGACCAACCCACAAAAATCTCAAGATGGGTTCGCCAAAGTGTTCACCAAGGCAGACATTGAAAAACTCAGAAGCCACCAGTCCATTGAGAAAACCAAGCAGGCTGAGACCATGTTGGCCAAAGCTTGGGAAACATACCAGGAGTTGGTGACCAAGAATAGCCAAATGGAGCTCCACTACACCAAGTGCTTTGGTAAGTTCACAGTGAGGCTCTTGTTGTTCCTCACCCAGAAGCAAAAGGTGTCCAAGGAAGCCAAGTCATGGGACTCCATGGAGGACATTTTGAAAGCCTTCACTGAAGAGGTTCAGAACCCACCTGCTTCATCTTCGACTGGCCCAGGGGAGTGCTCCAGGGCACTGCCCCATGTGTACTCCACCACCTGTTTACCAGCTTGGCCGCAGGAGGCTTTGATTGCTATGCCTTCTTTGAAAAATACTTCCAATGTTGGCAAAACCCCAGAGGTTGGTATGCCAACTATTTTCACCAATTGTTTGAGAAGAAGAAAATGGAAAAATCCAAGAATGCCAGAAAATTCACTTGCACAGCAGCAGAATGTTTAGGCATTTTCCCCATAGTGAGGCATTGCATGTGCACCATCATCCAGCCTCAAGGCCTGTGTGTGGCAGCAGTGAATGCGTTTTTGGCCATGTCAGAAGTCATAGACCAATGCCATGGTGGTGTGCAATGGAAAGCCACCACAAGGCAATCCTTGTTGAGTGCTGTGGAAAAAAGCCAATGCATCATTTTTGGCTGCTTGGCCAGAAGAAACCATGATCAAGAAATGGCATTGGCATCTGCACCTACCAGATGCATTGTCCAGATTTTCCACTCTTCCAAGCTGCTTCACAGCTGAAAGGAAACACAAAAGCATTTCAGCTTTGGCAACTAAATGGACAAGAACCACCAGTTATGAGAAGCACCTCCTTCAGCAAGTGCTTTCCACTGAAATTTGCACTTTACAGCAGCCAGATCAATTTCCCAATGTTTGCCACATGTGGAAACCAAAGCTTGCCACCCAACAGGACCAAGTGGCCTTGGCACCTTTTTTGAGCCAACCTTGCCTTCAAGCACAAAGTTCGACTGTTGCCATTTTGGCCAGAGGTGGCCAAATTTCAGGTGGTGATGCCATCATTTTCTCAGAAGGCAATGACCAATGGAAAGTTGCACTTGCCATCAAGCATTTCCAGGTATTTGGCTTGCAAACCACTTTGGTCCAATTGTGGTCCATACAGAACATGGACCAATACCATGCCAAATGCAAGGTGACAGCCTCCAATGGGCTCATTCCATTGAGCAATATTTTGTTCCCAGTGCCATACAGCAAAAGCAATGACCAAGTGACTGTGCTGTTGCCATACCAATGCTACAGTCGAAGATAGCAGGAAAAACATGTGTGTCTGTGCAGCTGTCTTTTGCAATCAAATTACCAAAGGCCATTGTGGCTCATCAAAGGCCATGGTGGCTCATCAAAGGCCATGATGGCTCATCAAAGGCCATGATGGCTTCTTCCATCCATCAATAAATGTTTGCACATGTCAATGCACCACGACAGAAATTCATTATGTTTCTTGTTTTCGAAAATGCATATTAGTCTATCATTTTTTGTACCAAAATCATTTCAATTCTCTGAAAAACTTAAAGTCAATTTGGATTTTGGAGAAACCATTTTTAGAGTTATAACTAGTTACATAGAATTAGCAACTCAAGCTAATAATTATATAACTGATCTTAACTAACTTAACTTCTTATAACAAAACAAGGATCCCAAGTAGTGGCCCGAAACTGCCCTTCAAACGCCTCAAACCCCTCAAACCCCTCAAACCCCTCAATCCCCTCGAACCTTGCCAATGGTTCTGCCATACTGGCCGTTGGAGCAGCCAGCTTCTGGATTCTGGACGCTTCAGATGCTCTTGCTAGACTGTGGGCTCTGGGCTCTGTGCGAGACTGTGGGCGGAGTTGCGCAGACT